TAACTTATAAACTATAAATCTAAAAAGCAATATGACTGCAAAACTAATGTGAAATAATTTAGCCTTCTAATAGTGTTACAAATATAGAAATTTAATTCATCCGTGGTTTCAAAAAGTCAGCTTTAGTCAATGCAAAAAAAAATTCAGAATGAATGGTTTTTAAAATTCTGACGGAAAGTGTTAGCACCAATTTTTACAAACAAACTTGTGTTTCTGCCCCCAAGGTTTTAATTGGGAAATTCAAAACTACATTTCAGATAATTTGAAAAGAACTTTCCTTTACAGTGTGAGACCTAAAACTGTTAAAGTAATAAAATTCAGGGATGCCTGGGTGGCTCAGTCAATTAAGCATCAGACTCCTGATTTCAGTTCAGGCCATAATCTCATGGTTTGTGAATGTGAATCCCATGTCAGGGACTCAGGGACTCATTCTCTCTCTCTCTCTCTCCCATTTCTTTCTGCCCATCCCTCGCACACACGCACGTGCCTCTCCCCCAAATAATAAAAACATTTAAAAAAATAAAGTAATAAAATTCAAATTCCAGTTCTTACAACAAATTTGCAAAGAGTACACTTTTATTTCAAGATTTGTTTCCTTCTTGATAAATACTAGGATTATATTCAGGCATAATAACAGAGGCTCCATCTACCAAAGGCTTACTATGTGGGAAGCGCCGTGATTTCTGTACCCATCTCCTTGCCACCATTCTGTGGAGTGCAACTCCCCTGAGTGCACTCTCCCCCTGAGAGCACATGGCAAGGATATGAACACAGCACTTTCTAAATCAAAAGTCCGTGTTACCTCCATTTCCTGTTGCCTTCAAAGCATAAAGTTTCCAGTTGTATAATTCCAACATCTTCAGTAAAATTTTCCTACAGATACTTCTAATTTGTTTCCTTATTGGCAAAATGTATGATTAAACCCTTACAACAGGTAGTTTGATAAAAATCTTCACATAGACTTCTGTAGGTCTGAAGTTACATCAAAATAAAATAAGTTCTCACAAAACAGCCATTATTTCAAAATAGATAATTTAAAAAATAAAAAATTTTTAAATAGAAAAAATAATTAAAAAAATAAAAATCTCATACAGAACTATGGTTGTCTGGGGGATAATGACTTTGATGTTCTATTTTATGGACTTGGGAAAGAATTACTAAAGTTATATTATTTTTACCAGATTCAAGGTCAAGTTCTAAAAAAACCTAAGAAATAAACTCTTATAAGAATATTAAGCTAAAGCTATGAACAATAATAAATGTACATATGACATTATAACAACTTAAACAATGTAGGTCTCTTTCGAGCAACAGAAATGTGAATATGCATGTCTACATGCTAAAAACCTTGGAAACTTTAACTCATGACAGCCTGCTAATTCAAAATAATTTTATGCACATACAAATGGTCCACAGAAAGGTTTAAGTTTCTTTGTTTAGTTTTGAGAGAGTGAGAGCGAGAGAGCGAGAGAGAGATAACAAGTGGAGGAGGAGCAGAGAGAGAGAGCGAGACAAAGGATCTGAGCAGGCTCTGTGCTGACAGCAGAGAGCCCAAAATGGGTCTCGAACTCATGAAAGAGCCCGACATGGTGCTCAAGCTCAGGAACCACTGATATCATGACTGAGCTGAAGTCAGACGCTTAAGTGACTGAGCCACTCAGGTGCCCCAGAAATGTTTTAATTTTAAATGTTTATGCTCTCTTAAAAATTTGATTTGATAATTTTCTTCTATTTGCTCCAAACCTTTTTCACTGATCACTAACTGAAACAGTCATGGTTTAGGAGTCTTAAGCTTTGACGTTTGCAAAATTGAAATATAAGCATTTTTCTGTCCTTCCTCCCCGATAAAATGGCTTTTATTTTTTTCTTCCACTTTCTCTACAGTCTCACTTGCTTTCTGCTTCAGAGTTTACAATATATCACACAAGATGAGTTTACATTCAGGAGCAGGAAAAATGATTAAAATACAAATACTCAGACTGCAGGAATACATCCTCTTTAGTTTGAATCCTACAAAACATGGAAGCTATCTGACCTGAGAGTTCTACTTTTTATACTAAGAAAAAAGTTTAGAAGAAAAACAATGTAAGATTTTAATGAGAAGAATATGAAAACAATATTTAGAAGTCAAAGACAAAAAGGCAGCGATGAGTAGAAGACAGTAATTTATTTTTTCCTTCATAAACAATTTTAAGTAATCCTTACACTGTGTGAAAATAACAAAGCACCACAACACTAGATAACTTTACTTGATTGGGTTTATAAAGATAGTGGCTGGAAAACACTTTAGATAGTGCGTTTCTGCCCAGGATTAAGCGGCCACCTGGGGGAGGGTGATGGCAATGTAACAGGAGACACTTAAAAACAGGCTATTGTCCCTGCTTTCCCCTTCAACTTCTAGAATCCTGAGAGTTAAATAACTATATCCATGTCTTCCATATCAAATCTCTAGAAATACTGGTCCTGATTTTTTAATTTTTTGACCAGTGATATAGTAACAAAAATCAAATGATATAAAAAAAATGTATAGTGAAAAGTTTACCTCTCACCTTCACCCCGGCCGTCATCAATCCGGTCCTCCCACTCCCATACCCCGTAAGATCACTGGCTTCTTGCATGTTCTTTCAGAGAGTCATTATACAGCTTGTTCTTTATTAAAATAAAGTAGGATACAAATACTCAAATTGTAACGCCTTTCTCTGTATCACATATCTCAATCTAACATGACCTCAGCGATGCCTGACTACACTTTCTCAGTGCCTTCATGAAATCTTTGATTCGAGGCTGAAGGCAAGGCTTTAAGCAAGCAGCGTCTCAGGTAAAGCACAAGAATGGTGAGCAAAGGTGGCACCAACAGCTAGTGGTTAAGGAGCCACAACCAACAGACATAATCAATCCATAACCCCACCGGCAACATTAAAGTGAAAGAACTAGTTCTTAAAAATTCCTATGTTTCAAAGCTGCTATGATTATTTTGGAAAAAGTAAACCAATGTTATGATTCTGAATCTGTAAGAAATGTAAATCTACAAGAAAAATTAGACACAGACCACTTGAAAAATGTCCTTCCAAATGTTAATAGAACAAGCCCAAATTTTAATTACGTATTTAATACTCATGCTCACTATACCATATTAGTTTAGCCGCTTAAAATTTAGACTTGTGTAGAGTCGTGATTTTATGTATGTCATTTCACTGTATGCTGCAGTCCCTTTTATAAAATCTACAGCATTTTTAGTCTTTCTTTGATTAAAAAAAAATCCTTTTCAGCCCGACTTCCTGACATAACAATGTACAATACTGAATCACTCCAAGGTAAAACAAAATGATACTTAGGTTATTCCCACTATACTCAAAATTAACCTAACTATTAGCAAGGACACAAATACACTGGGTACAAAATAGAACTCTGTACTCAGGCACTTGTTTTTATTATGTGCTGGAAATAAAAATAGAAGTGATAAGTACCAAATAAGTGGTATAAACAAGTGTCACAGAAATGTAGCATAAGGACAGTACACTCATACTTCAAATGATCAGGAGATACATTAAAGAGGCAGCCTTTGAAATGGATCAAGGAAGACTGGTTTCCAGGAGCAGAAAATGGGGCAAGGCCTTCAGCCGGGAATACAGTGGGGTGTCAACATAAGCAGGTTGGTACTTCACAATATCTAAGGCAGGGAATAAGGAACTACGATCCATGGGCTAAGTCCAGCCCCCTGCTTGTATCTGTGTTGCCTATAAACTACCAGTGGTTTTTACATTTTTAAATGGGAAAAAAAAAATCAAAAGAATATGCTGTGATACATGAGAATTATGCAATTCCTATGTAGAGTTTTATGGGGACACAGCCATTCCATGCCCATCTGTTTACCTGTTATCCAGGACTGCTTTCATCCTACAAGGCTGAGCTGAGCAGATGCAACACAGACCAGCGAATCACAAAGCCTCAAGTATTTACTCTGCGGCCCTTGAGAGAAAACATCTGCCAAACCCTTCCCTTAGGAAGGTCCATGTGGCTGAGGCACTATGCGTGAGGGGCTGGGAGGAGAAAGAAGCGAGAGGCGAGCACGCAGGCCAGAGCGAGGATTTGCGTCTATATTCTAAGAGTAACAGGGAAGCCCTTAAAGAATTTTAAGTAGAGAAGTGACAGGAAGATTTGCATTTTAAAAAGCTCATTCTGGTGGTTACATGGGTAACCAGCCTGAGGAAAAAAGTAAGGATGTTAGTGCAGAAAGGAGTTTAAGCAAGATATAAACACAGCTTAGACTTACAGGGCTGGGAAAGCAAAATAAGGAAGCTGGGCAAGAGTATTTCTGAGATGCCTTTCAGTTCTAAAATTTTAAGAATCACAGGAGTTTCGGGGCGCCTGGGTGGCTTAGTCGGTTAAGCATCCGACTTTCGCTTAGGTCATGATCTCGCGGTTCGTGGGTTCGAGCCCCGCGTCGGGCTCTGTGCTGACTGCTGGCTCAGAGCCTGGAGCCTGTTTCAGTCTGTGACTCCCTCTGTCTCTGACCCTCCCCTGCTCATGCTGTCTCTCTCTCTCTCCTAGAAATAAATAAAAATATTAAAAAAAGAAAAAAAAAAGGAAAAAAGAAGGTGCAGAAGAGCTTATATTAAAAAAAAAAAAAAAGAATCACAGGAGTTTCTAAGTCTGGTTTTGCAACTTTTCAGCGTATTTCAAATGATCACAAAATGTCTCAAAAATGTTATACTATAAACGGCTCTGCAATAGTAAGTTAGAAATATGCCTCCAGAGCTTCAAGCATTAAAATGTCTGGGAATTACTGAAGAATAAACTATCCCCTCCATTAGAATACTTTCTAAAATATGGATTAAATGTTTTGCAAGCAGGACAGGACTAGTTTTATGAAAATCATGATTAAAGATTTATAGATCATACAATATAAATGAACACAAAGGGGGAACACACACAGATATGCTTGCATACATTCTCACTGCACTTTCCCAAAATGTAGCAACGAGGAAACAAAAACATACCTGCTACATTCTAATAACGTCACTTTGAGACGGCCTTCAGTAAGTGCCCACTGTTGTATGTGGATGTGCTCGTCTTCATCTTCTTCAAATCCTTGCAAGGTTTGGAATGGAAAAAATGGCTTAAACCTGAGAAAAGTAAAGATAAGTCTAAATTTTTGAACAATAAAGCGTAGTAACAAACCAATCTGTAGGAAAACCACACACACACACACACACACACACACACACACACACACACAGAAAAACCTCAACTGCACGTGCCCTGTAAATCCAAAGCTTATCACACTGGACTGGCAGCAGATGGTACCTTCTTTGTGGCACCCAGAACCCCCTCCCCCCTGGGTTTTGGGCATGCCCTTGGTGACAAGGCAGGACACTTAGAAAAAAGAACCATAAAATCTGATGATCATCATTAGGCCCTGAAACTGAAACTTGTGTGGAGCAGGAGAGCAACTCTTTCTGGACTAGATGGAAGAGTGTTCCTACAGCACAAGATCAAAATTCAGAATGCATTTTTTCCTGGAAACAATACAATTGATAGTAATTAGTACATGATAATGATTACTCATCACAACAACATCAACAACAATCAGTGTCGGCAAGGGTATCATCAGAATTGTTTACTATTTGCCAGGCAGTGTGCTAAGCTTTCCCAGCTCACAATCCTGAGAGGGCTGACAGACTAGCTTCCCTCCCCAGATGAGAACGGTGAACTTCACAGGTTAAAGGACTTGTTCACTGTTACATGGTGGGTGGCGGTACCAGAATTCAAGCTAGTAGGACTCTGTCAAAGCCCAAATTACATAACACTTCGGTTCCCTATGAATCATTTAGGCTGGTCCTATGTTCTTACGGTTTAACACTTGGGTTTTCACGGAGCAGCTTGTGGTGAGTTATGAACTGTAGGCTTTAAAATCTTTAATTCGAAATACAATTCATACTCCTCCATTAAGCAAAGGACAAAGAAAATGAGAGAAAATTGGGCTTGGGAGCCTATAGTTTTCAATTCACCTTATGCTCTGTTACTAGACACAGCATTTGTCTGCTTAAAGCTTCAATGGCTTCTCACTGACCACACACAAAAAAACAGTCAGAAGTTCTTGGTTTCACATTCAGGGTCCACCACAATTAACCTTCCCAATGGCATTTTCCCCTATGAGAACCATTCCTATGTAGGAAGTGTCATCACATCATGTACCCAGAAGATACTATGCATCTTCCAGCTTTCAGGCCTTTCAAACCAACTGGATGTTTCCCCTAGTTCTCGAAGCCGAGTCAAATCCTGAACACTTTCCATAATCGGCTTTAGGTCCTAGATCACAGCAGAGCTCACACATTGCTTCTACTATTTTGCAGTCACTTAAACTGCTGTGCTTTGAAATCTCAAATGTGACCTGCTCACAGCTGTTTGTACATACCCTTCACACACACCATCAGGACTCAACTATGTGTTGAGCTGATTTATAAAAACCCAACGCTAAAAATGAAATAAACATTTAGAAAATAACAGCTTACTACAGTTTATACTGAAAGATATTGATAGAGGGGGGCAAATACTGTTTTATGGTTTCCCAGTGAACAGGATTAAAGGAAAATCTTTTCAGGGAAAGACAGATAGATACACAAACAATGCTCAGTGCTTTTCTCCTGCTTCTGAACTAGATGGAAAACAGAAAGTCTTCTTTAGCTCCTTAAATTGGCATTTGAAGTCACTTGATTCAAACTGGCACCAGATTTTGAAAGGAAAAAAAAACTATGAATTAAATTTATCACATTAATACAAAGTTGTAACTGAGTGTTTTTACACACAGCCTTACGGCTCCTGTAGAACACAGGACTGTCACTCTGTGAAATGTTACGAAGATCACTATACTATATACACAACCAACTTTGAATATAATAATCCAGCTAAATCAAAGCTCCTCTATGAATCAACTTTTCTTCTCATGTATAAACTTAAAATTCAGTACAAAAAAAAAAAATTCCCACAGGTATGTGACTTCAGTGTTCTATGGAATAAAATCTAATTCGGTTTATTAATGCTTCTAGCAGCGTGTGCTGAGTGCTTATACACAGAAGTACATTAAAATCAGAAAAATGTATTCCATTTAAAAATAACATGCTAAACCCTGGGATAAAGCTATTTGTTCACCAAGTTAATAAACAGAATCCACACATTTGCATTCTCTAAGGACACTTGGTTTTCAAAATTTGAAGTCCAAACCTTTAAGTATTTCAAACCAGTAAGGAAATCCAAACGGTAAAGCAGGTTACTTCTCCCCCTTATTTTTACCTTCCCCTCCCGCCGCATTAGCCTCTGTAGAATTCATTAGCCTTTCTTCTGTTAATCTATCAACTTAAAAACGTCACTGTTTTCTCACTCCAGTTCTCTGTACAAGCTAACTCTACTTCCTCCTGTAGAAACCTTAAAAAACCAACCCAGAAAGAGCAACTTCTAAAATGTCAGCACAGGGCCGCCTGGGTGGCTCAGTCAGTTAAGCGTCCAACTTTGGCTCAGGTCATGATCTGACAGTTCATGGGTTCGAGCCCCGCATCAGGCTCGCATCTGAGCTGACAGCTAGCTCAGAACCCGGAGCCTGCTTCAGATTCTGTATCTCCCTCTCTCTCTGCCCCTCCCCTGCTCTCTCGCTCTCTCTCTCTCTCAGAAATAAATAAAAAACATTTTTAAAAACTTTAAAAATAAATAAATAAAAAATAAAATGTCAGCACAGGGGGCGCCTGGGTGGCTCAGTCAGTTAAGTGAATGCCTCTTGATTTTGGGTCAGGTCGATCTCACTCGGCGCCAGTCACGGTCACAAGATCAGGCCTCTCGGAGCCTGCTTTAGTTTCTCTCCCGCCCTCTCCCTGTGCACGCACACGCTCTCTCTCAAAAATTAAATTTAACTTAAAAAAATAAAGTGACAGGACAAAGAGACGCACTGACCCACACTCTGTAGTAACACTGATGAAAATTATCAACATAAAAACAGACACCAAACACTCATAGCCCCTGAAGTGGCCCTAAAGGTAAACAGCAAAGGAAGGAACTTCTATTCATAGATTTTCTTGACCAGGAAATCTGGTTAAGGACAGTGAGAGTCTGGGGTGTCTAAGCCAAGACCTCCAATATGCCCAGCAAGGAAGAGACGGTCTCCAGATGAATGCGGCCAACAGGTCTCGCCTCGGCTCCCAGGGGGCTTCCTTCCCGAGAGGAGCGAGGAGGACGGCAGTGGTCCTGGTGCTCAGCGGCCCAGCACGGATGCCCCGGGAGGCGAGCTCCCTGCGTGCGCGCGGGCAGGTGCAGGCAGGAGCCAGGAGCTCCCGTCCCTCACCCGCCCCACCTGGGGTACGGGGCGCTCACCCTGGGCGCAGGGCCCTGAGCGTTCTGGAGCCCTGATTGTCTTCGCCCTGCCCTGTGACACGAAGGTTCTATGCCGAGAGGCCAGGATAAGGGACCTCAGGCTGCTGCCACCCCCTACCCCACCTGGCACCCAGCTCCTGGAGTGGGAGTGTCACTCACTCAGGGAGAAGCTGGCCACTGTCCCCACCCCCAGCTCCAGTGCCATGGCTCAAAAGATTTTGCTAAGGGGGCAGGAGGGGGAAAGGCAGGCCTGAAAAAAGCTCCTAACCTCTTCCCAAGGAACTGACTTCATTTACCAGAGAACATGGAGATGCTCAGACATAAGTGTGCTCTCAAGAACAAGGGAGGCTGTGATGAAAGGCAACCTGGGGGGAGATTGAGGATTTAGGGCAGATGCAGCCTAAACAAAGGCTGCCCGGTCACAGGAACTGAGACAGTGGGGGGGGGGGGGGGGGGGGGGGGGGGGGGGGGGGGGGCGGGATCTCAGGGGAGGTCAGAACAGGTACCAAACCAGACCTCAGAAACTACTCCTTCAAGGAAGCCACAACTCGACGGGGTTAGCTGGGGGAACGATATATGCCAGGGGCCCTGCTGAGAACAAGAGTGAGGGGTAGATGGCACTAAAAGAACCCAGGCAATCACTAAAAAACAAATAAATAATAAGCCCTGGGAAAGGGGGACCCGTGCTCCAAGTTGCTACAATAGATTATCTAAGTATCCGATTTCCAGCAAAAATTGTGAAGCTGCAGAGAATCAGGAAAGCACGACCCATGAGGCAGAACGGGCAACACAAACTGCCAAGAAGAATGACCAGGCACTGGACTGAGCAGAAGACTTCCAAATAGCCATTAGAAATGTGTTCACAAAAATTTTTAACAGCATGATTAAAGAAGTAAAGGGAGGTATTCTAACAATGTCCCGTCAAATACAGACTACCAATATAAATATAGGAATTCTATTAAAAAAGAACCAAGTGGGAATTCTGGGGTTGAAAACGAATAATTGAAATAAAAAATGTCAGTGCACTTGAAATGTAACTCCAGAGCCTGGTCTATAGTCCCTGAGGTTGATTTGATTATCACTCAGTTTTCTGCTGGAATAACACACTAAACCTGGGTGGCTTAGTCCGTTGAGTGTCTTGACTCTTGATTTTGGCTCAGCTCATGATCCCAAGGGTTGTGGGATGTGGGATGGAACCCTACAACATGCAGCCTGCTTGAGATTCTCATTCATCCCCTCTCTTCCTCTCTCTCTCTTTCTTCCCCTCCCCCAAGGAAAAAAAGATAAGAAAAAATTTCACCAAAAGGGCTCTCAACCGTAAATATGAACTAGCAGAAGACAAGACTTAGTGAATTTGAAGCTAGAGTAACAAAAGTTACACAAGCCAAAGAACAGAGATGAAAAAGAATAAAGAAAAATGAACTGAGCCTTAGAGAAATCTGAGACCATTAAGCACACCAACACACACATCATGGGAGTGCCAGAGGAAGGGGAGGGGAGAGGAGAGGAGGAGAGAAAGGGGAGAGGAAAAAACAGTCAAAAGAATAACAGAGGCAGCCAGTAAGCCCCAAAGCTACAAATTATGATTCCATCCATATAAAAATCCAGAATCAAATCTACAGAGAAAGTACATTTGTATTTAGGGGAAAGTTACGAGAAGGGTAGCTGAAGGGTATGGGGTTTTCTTTTTTGTGGTGATAGAACTTCTAAAATGGACTGTGGTGACGGTCATGCACATCTGCGAGTCTACTAAATATCACTGAAA